TCTGCTTTAAAAGTGACACATCATGCATTTAAACCCTTCCTTTTCATATTTAAATCATTCAGCAGGGGTCTATGTAAAGTGGAACTGCAATGCTTTGGTCTGAATTCCTCATTATTGTAACTCCACAACCCCCTCTTTCACCCCGATTCTGTCTGAGAGCAACTCGTTTTGGTGCTGTCTCCTTAAATGCATATGAGGCACTTCACACATCGCCCCCTTCCACCTTATTTGGCCACTTGTGTAGTTTGATCGCAGAGGTACTACATTGTCTAGCAGTGCAGAAAAGTTTTATTTACAAAATGATTTAAAAAAGTCAACAAGGGAAGACTTGACTATAAATATCGGAGCCAAAGTCTGACCCAGAGTGAGAGGAGAATGAAGACGATGAACCGGCAGAACCACTGATTCAAGAAATTGGTTAACCACAAGTCTATGACCTTGTTTTGYAGTTCTACAGCAAATATGGTGTCATTATTGTTCAAAATATATAACAGGGAATAGAGAAAACTGAACGGACTGAAAAATATGACCCAAACAGAATAGATGTAAGATACTATGCAGCATGGGGGAAACTAAATTAAACTTTTCTGCACTCCTGGAGACTTCAAATACACAACAAATTTATTTAAAGGGATCCCCGATTAGTTGTAACATTAGACTTTATTTAATAAACATATATTTTAACGGTAAAATAAAGACTGTAAAAATACTGTATGCTGTTTAGTTTTTATAATTTTCAAAAACATTTTAACACGGAGGGGGCCATTTTATTTACACGCAAAGCATTCTGGGTAAATGATGACGTGGATAGGTCCTCGGTGTGAGCGACCTATATCCACCCTGAAGGTTAATCTTGGACAATATCTGATGATCGACTCTTTTAAATGAAACCAGAGAGCGTTGACAGAGAGGAGAAGGTAGAAATGACTCAGCCTGTAACTGAAAATATGGATGGAGGACAACAGAGCTGCTTCATGGAAAAGAGTCGATCATCAGATATTGTCCAAGATTAACCTTCAGGGTGGATATAGCTCGCTCACACCGAGGACCTATCCACGTCACCATTTACCCAGAATGCTTTGGGTATAACTAAAATGGCCCTGTCCATGTAATATATTTTTAAACTTCTAGTTTAAAAATGATAAAAACTGAACATCCTACAGTATTTTAAAGTCTTTATTTTACAGTTAACATATGTGTGTATTAAGTAAAGTCTAATGTTACAACTAATCGGGGATCTCTTTAAGGGCTAACAAGGTGGATCTGGCACAATATATCCCCTTTAACGCACTCTGCACAGCAAAAAAATGCCTTTTTAGTGGTTATTTTTTAAATCCTAGATCAAATTCTTTGAAAAATTGTGTATATTTTGACAGTTATCAAGGCTTTAACTCAGTCTTTTTTTTTGAATAAAAAATTAAGTTAAAACAGTTTGTGCAATGTGAACTCAATGTATGTGTCTTTGCAGTGACTTAMATGTCRWGTGGTTAGTCATTTAYTATTSTAAATCAWKGTAAAAACAGCAACAAAAGAGCATWGGAGGATTTGACRCAGGTAAGATGAAAACCTGGAAGTATTTATACTGAGAGCAGTGATCGGGAGTTAAGCTGATTACTAATGAGACAAGTGAGTGAGAAAATGAAACAGGGATGAGATATGGTATCTAAAGCTAAAGAAAATACAAAAACAAACAAAAAAATCAATGACTCAACACTAGACAAAAGATCAATGTTAGGTTCAAACTATGATAGTGAGAAAAATGTATAATTGTGCCTTTTATTAGATGTCACAATATTTGAAAACATTTAGCCTGCATATTTTTTTTCTGTGACAACAGTAGTGAAGACTCAGATCCATCTTTTAACTTCATTCAGCACAAAATTCAAATGTGGCAGGCAGCCTAAATGCCACCTCATACATATTCTGTGATCCCAGAGGAATGAGCAACTGATTTATTTTACTGGGGGAAAAAATCTATTGTCTTGGCATCACTGGAACAAACACCTCTAGATAAACTAATAATATGCAGCAAAATTATATTTAGGAGTGGGAATCAGGCGGGGGTATTCTGTGTGCAGAAGTGTAAAGTAAAGCAAATAGCTGTGATCTTTGTACAAAAAAAATGTTGATGAGTATCTGGAGATGATTTGAACTGCTGGAGATGTTCAGCCAGTCGGAAGTCTGTGATATGCTTTTGATAAAAGATAAGAACCAGAGTGCGGCAGTGCAGTGGGTACATAAATCAAACGGCAGATAAACGGTGTGAGATACTGCCAGTTCAGCAGTTGACACTTGTTTTAAACTACATCACACAAGACAGAACGTGTTAAAMGGTGACACGTGGATCATTCGCATCCACCGTTTCCATCCTGCATTCCAAATGAAAACACCACACCGGATAAAAAAAAAAGTCTCTCTTATCCAGATGATGTTGGGCTACTTCAAAGCRTGGCCATTATATTTAAACTATGATGATTAAAACTGAACGAGTGCGACTGCCAACAAAAGCTGAAAGCTTTAGACGCACCTGTTCAGTTTGGACAGGAGGTTTGGTTCGTGTTGAAGCCGTTTGCCTTTAAAAGCACAACTGTCAGCGCTTTTGTCCTGTGAAGGAAAATGAAATTGTTCCCCATTWACAATTTGAAGGTGTTTCACGTATGTTTCATTCATGCTTTAAACGTATTGTACGCATGCTATCATGATGTTCTGAATCATGTCAGCCCATAGGKCACTTTTAAAGTGTCATTTCTCGTTCTTCAAGCCTAACTCCACATAGTGCTGCGGTTTCTGTACAGCTGGGGAACTATTTGTTTTGTTACTGGAATGTGAACAATGAAATAGGAAGTACAACTACATCTTAAAGTGTTCTTCTCTGTTGAAAGACCCCCAAAACAGATTTTAACTGAAACTAGGAATATTTGCTGCTCAGATAAGAACCACTCTTTGCATGTCAAACAGGAACTGGTTTTGGACTGGTTTCCACTGGAAGAATAAAGATGCTTCACTGGGGCTGTGTCCTCAGACTCTGTTTTGYACTGCTGGGTGCATGCTGACTCTCACTTTATTGCAATAATTTTATTCAGAGACCATTGTRGTGAAGAACCTTTTTGATCACATATTTCTGCATTTTGTTTAACAGACATGGAATAAGTTTGTTTCCATTACAGTCTGTTGAAAGTTTGTGCTTTGCTGTACACGTTTAAAAAAAAATCCAAAATGTTCCTTTTAAAATCAAAAGAAGGAAATGTAAAAAATGTTAAAAATAAAATAGGGATTACTCAAAGCCAACCGCTCAGAGGTCGGACATCCGGGGACTGTGTTTGAGCGGTATGGAGGGGTTGATTGACGATGATAGGGGAAACACTGCATTATGTAAAAGAGCAAGTACTATTTTCATTTACCTTTTACATTTGTTTTACTAAACTAGTCAGCTGTGGCTATAGTTTGTCATCATCAGTGTGTGAATATGTGAATGTCTGTGAGTGTAAAGCGCTTTGGGGTCCGGAGTGACTTGATGAAGCACTCTATAAGTTC